AGCCGCGCTCCGGTAAGAGGAAAGGGGCTAGAGATGGAATCTCAGAGAATCCCGGACCCAGCACAAAACTCCCTGAGGCGAGGGGGCCATTGTGGGCAGCAGAATAAACAACATAGCCCTTCACACCAGGGAATCATGACACACACTTTTTTTTTTTATTATATAAATTTTATTCATGACACACACTTTTAAAAATTGGCCCTGAGGCCTTCCTGAGCTCTTGATACCAACATTTTGTGACTTTATCATTTACACTTTCATTTTTTTGGAGGTGTTACTTTATGAACAAAAGGTTGTCACTTTTTTTTAAGATTTATTTACGCATATAAGAACTGGGGTGCGGTGCAGGCCAGAGGTGTAGGGGTGAGAGGATTCACCAGAGACAGAGCGGGGAACAGAACAGGCAGACTGACGAAGTCCACTGCTGAGGGGAGCAGCGGGCGGCAGGAGAGGTCTGCTGCGCCCTGTGGGCAGCTCCCTGGCCGGGGATGGCACTCGTGCTGCAGAGGCTGCGGACAGCTTCACAGTGCTGTGCTCAACCCCTGAGCCACTAGGGAGGCCCTAAAATTTGTCACTTATGATGGCAAATTATCAGTCTCTTCCAGCCTCTGCCTCTTATGCTTATTTAACCTGGAAGAATTATCCATCCATAAATTTCGCTTCGTATTTTAAAGCTGGGTTTTGAACATTTCAGTCCCTATGCCACCTGGAGTAGATTTTTTTTTTATTTCTTTTGAAATAACTTCAAACTTAAAGAAAAAAGAACAGAACCGCACAAAGCCGCACCCCTTCATCCAGACACTTCCCAGCCACATTCACTGCAGCTGGCCCATCGTCCCCATTCACGGTCACGTTCCTTCCCCAAGACTTTTGAGACAAGTTGTGGACATGACCTCTCTCCCTCCCATCACTCCAATAAGGCTCTCTCCACCCCACCCCCCAAAAAAAGCAGGGACAACCTCCTCTGGGAGATGACAACCTCCATTCAAGGTGTCACCATTCAGAAAACCAACATTCAGAAAACAAACGTCGGAGTCTCAGCTCCCATTCAAAAAAAATTTTAGGGGGCCTCCCTGGTGGCGCAGCGGTTGAGCGCTGGGTTGCAAAGCTGCCCGCAGCCTCTAAGGCGCCGGTTTGATCCCAGCTGCTCCCCAGCCACCGGAGGAGGGTCCCACCAGGTGCGCAGACCTCTCCTGCCGCCCGCTGCTCCCCTCAGCAGTGTCCTTCGGTCCTTCTGCCTGCTCTGCTCCCCGCTCTGGCTCTGGTGGATTCTCTCACCCTCCCGCGCTTCTCACTGTACCCAGTGCTTGTATAAATAAATCTTTAAAGAAAAGAAAAAATTTTTTGAAGATTTATTTATTTATGCATACAAGAACTGGGGTACTGGCCAGAACTGCAGAGGGTGAGAGGATTCACCAGAGACAGAGTGGAAAACAGAGCAGGTGCATCCACTGAAATCCACTGCTGAGGGGAGCTGCGGGGAGATGGGAGGGGTCTGCTGCGCCCTGTGGGTAGCTCCCTGGCCGGGGATGGAACTCGTGCTGCAGAGGCTGCTGACCAATTCATTGGTTGTGTCTTAACCCCTTGCGCCACCAGGAAGGCTTTCTCTGCTGTGTGTCTGTCCAGACACACACAGAGGTCACTTCCGGACAGACCATTCACTGTGCATCTGTGTCACTGTGCATCTCGGTTCTCTGCATATTTCGTAATAAAAGCACAAACTTTAAAAATAAATCTTTATTTGTACGAAGACAGTTAACCCTACACAGACATCTCAAATGTGACATCTGCGCCAGATTCAAATTTCTGCAACAACATCCAGTTCCTTCCCCAGCCATGGTGCAAGGCCTGGGAATTCCCAGCCTCTCTGAAGCAGTCAGTGTTCAGAGTGAAAAATCCCCTCACCAGGCAGCAGGAGTAGAGAACCCGGCTTCCTAAGGGGACTTGGGGGAACCCCAGCCAACAAAGTTCCCCCAAATTCTCCCGTTCCCCTACTTTGCGGACAATGTAAACGCGGTGTCCTTGTCCTTTTAAATAAGATCTACGTTTACGGCCTGTTGTGGTCAAAGGTCCTGCCAAGGCAGAAGACTGGGTTCCGGGCGCTGCCCGGCCGGCTTTCCTGCGCGGCTGTGGATTTCCCTGACCAGAGCAGAGGTGGGCGGCGGTGCTCCTGGCCATGGCTCTTGGGGACACTTTTGGGGGGTCGGCTTTGAGGAGGCGGCGCGGCGCAGCCTCTCAGGATGGGCTGCTGGGCGGGGTGGGCAGCGCCTGCTGCAGACTCTGCCCTGCCAACAGCGGGAGCACAGAGAGGGCGGCCAGGGGCGCCACTGCCGCGGAGGCCCCCACAGGCCAGTTTCGGGGAGACCCGGAGGCGGCCGCAGGAGCTGAGGAAGGAAGCTGGTGCCCACCAGGCTCACAGTGAGCCACGGTCCCCTTCGGGCATCTTGGGGATAAGAAAATTCGCACAGTCAGGCCCCGCCATGCTGACCTACTTCCCGGGGTTCCCGGGGCCGAACCCCCCGCAGACGCCGGGGCTGGGGGCCTTTATTCCCGCCCAGCGCGGGCGCGGCGCTGGTCCCGGGAAAGAGGCGCCTGGAAGAAGCGGGGTCTCCCCCTGCTCCCCGCCGGCACCCGCTCTCAGGCCCGCCAGGGGCTCTGCAAATCCGGGGCTCGCGCGCGCAGCCGGGGCTCCCCCGAGTCATCCCGCCGGCGCTCAGGGCCTGGCCGGCCCCGCGGCCGCTGACCTCGGGGGGCGGCTGGACGTGCGGAACCCCGAGCGCGGGAGGGCGCCCCGGGAGAGCAGGGGCGCCCCGGGAGGAGCCCGCGCGGCCGCAGGGCGCGGGCAACGGGGACGAGTCTCTAGACGCGCATCTCGCTCCTGGCGCGCCCGGCCCGGGGCGTGCGGGGGGGGGGGGGGGGGCGTGCGGGGGGGCCCCGGGGCCGGCCTGGGGGGCGCTGCGGGCAGCGCGGGGCGGCGCAACCGGGGAGGCCGCGCCCGGGAGGCCGCGCGCACGCGCGGGGTCCTTCACCCCACTTGGCTCTGCCTCCCGCACCCCAAGTTCGGGACGACAGGGACGGGGCGGGGCGGGGGCACCCGGGCGCCCTCGGGACGCGTCTGGGGAGCCCGGACGGCGCGCGGGGAAGGCGGGACGCCGAGGGGGGACACCCTCCCGCGCCGCGCGGGCTCCCCGGCTTAGGGGGACCGGGCGCAGCCCCGCGGGCGGCGAGGCCGGGGCGGCGAGGCTGGGGCGGCCGGCTGGCTCGCGAGGCGCCGCCCCCCGACAACCTCCCGCCCCGCCATTGGACGGACGCCCCCCTCGCGCCACCGGCCCGCCCCGCCCCCGCCGCCCCGTCCTCGGCGCCCCCGCGCCTCGGGCGGGGAGGGGACCCCGGGCGGGCCCCGAGCCCCCGCGCCCGCCGCGGCCGGTGACGTCACCAGGCGGGGTGCGCGGCCCCGCCCCGGGCCCCCCGCTGGGTCCGCAGCCCCCGGCGGGACCGCGGGTCGGGGGTGCAGCCGCCGCCCCCGCTCCCCGCGGCCCCGACTCGGCCCCTCGCCGCCCCTCGGCGAATTCGGGGCCCGGCGGCCCCAGCCCGCGCGCACCCCCACCGCCCCCCGCGCCGCGGGCTTCTCGCGGGCGGTTTGGGAACCGGGGGGCCCCACGTCTCTGCCCCCCGCCCCGAAGCCGGGCGCTGCCCTCCCCGGCTGTGACCGAAAGACGCGGCGCTGTGGGCTCGCGGGGCGGGGGGCAGCGCCGGCGCCGGGGCGCGGGGGGGCGGGCGCGGGAGGAGGGGGCGCGGAGGAGGGGTGCGGGGAAGAGGGGCGCGGGGGAGGGGGCGGGGAGGGGGGCGCGCCGCGCTGCGGCTTCCCGCGGGCGGGCGCCGTCGAGCCCCGCGAGCCCCCGCAGGAGCGCGCGGGCTGCAGAGGCGCGGCGGGGCCGGCTGCAGGCGGTGCGGGTGCGGGGCCGCGCGTGCGCGTGTGTGCGCGTGTGTGCGCGTGTGTGCACGTGCGTGTGCCGCCCGCGAACGGCCCCAGGGGGCTCCGGGCGGGGAAGACCCGCCCGCGGGCGAGCGCCCGGGAGATTTCCCGGGGCTCCGGGAGCCCGTCCGGGCCTCGTCCCCCGCCGCGCCCCGCCGCGCTGCCCCCGCCGCCCCCTCGGGCCTGCGTCGCGGGGCGGCCTCGGGCGCGCGGGCCTGGGGCGAGGCCGGCCCCGGGGCGCGCGCGGTCTTTCGGGGCCCCTCGTGCGGCCCGCGGCTGGGACCCCGGCTGGTGCGCGCGGGGCGCTCGGCGGGGCGCGCGGGCGTGCGCGCGGGGGCGCGCGTGCGCGTGAGTGTGCGCGTGAGTGTGCGCGTGTGTGCTCACGCGCCCAGGCTGCGCCCGGGGCCCGGCCGGCCCGAGGGGGAGGGGCAGCGAGGGGCCCGGGGACCCCGCGGCCCGGCTGCTCGGCGCCCGGCTCCGGCGCAGGGAGCCCCGCCGCGCGCGGGGGGCTGGGCGCCCTCGGAACGGGCGAGGAGGGGGAGCAGCTTGAGACGATCGAGTGGGCGCGCCAGGACTCCCCGGCCCGGGCGGGAGGGGAGCCCCGGGTCTGCGCAGCGGGCGGGCGGGGCGCGGGGTGGCCGCGGGGACCGGCCGGGTCGCCCCCGGGGGCAGGTTCCGCCCGGACCCCGCCGGAGCTGGAAGCGCCGGTTGATCCCGGCCCTGGTGACTATAAATGGCGCTTCTCTGCGAAGGTGTCTTTATTATTTTTTTAATCACTCGGTGTCATCCCCCACGTCAGGCCCGCCGTGGGCGTGGGCCGCGCCGCGCCGCCCCTTCTAATGGAGCGAACCATTGGCAGCTCCCGCCCCCCGCCCCCCGCCCCCCCTCCCGCTCCCTCTCTCCCTCGCCTCTCCTCCCTCTGCTGCCCCTGGCATAAAGTCCCCGGCGCGCCTGGAACTTGTTGGCAATGCCTGTTTTCCAGCGTTCCCCGCGTTCTCCAAACTAACTATTTAAAGGTCTGGGCCGCAAATGGTTTGACTACTCGTAGGATGGGACTTCAGCTGAGCGGCAGATACGTCTCTCTGATCCTCGCGGTGCAAATAGGTAGGTGGCCTCGGGCCGGGTTTGCGGCAGGCGCGGGCGGGCGGGAGGCGCCCGGGGCCGAGGGGTCCTGGGGGCCCGCCCGCCGCGACCTGCCCCAGGTGTGGGGCGCCGGCCAGTCCCCCAGGTTGGGGGCAGAGGGTGCTAGGGGCGTCGTGCGTCCCGGGCTGGCTTTTCTCTTAAAAAATAAGAAAAGAACGGCAGAAAGACAGAGACTCCAAACGTCCTCCAGGAAATGGGTGAGGGCGGCCGCTGGGGAGGGGGTCCCCCCTTTTTGCAAAGCCACGTCCGTTTTTGCTGGCCCCTCTCGGCGGAGCCGCTTTGGCAGCCCCGGGCATTGCACCGGTCCCTGCGACACCGCCAGGCACGATTTCGAAGGGTCCAAAGGTGACTGCAAGAACAAGATGGCTCTGCCGCGCAAAGTGCAAAGTTTATGTGCAGAAAACAGATGCCGCTCAGGCTGCTCCATCTAGAACTTTGAGGTCCTCCCGCCCCCAGCGCCCCTCACGCCCCAGCTGCAGCCTTCGCGCGGCCTCCGAGGACCCGCCGGGGTGCACCCCGAGAACGACAGGAGCCCCGGGGTGCACGGTTTAGTGCTTGTCGTTGAGAGGGACAGATTTGAGCAGATGTCCATGGATCGAATTTCCACACACATTTGTGTCTCTTTGGCGAGTTTCGTGTCCAGGAAAGGGTTAAGAGTGTTTGCAACAGTCACGTCCTGTGTTTGTCATTTTTTGGCGTTCTGGGCTTGACCGTGGATGGATTTACTTCGTCCCCGTTTTATGCTCAGGAATGCTGAGTCGTGGTCACATCGTGTGGGGCTTTTTGAAAGTTTACATTTTTCCATCCGATCGCAGACGTGATGGAAGGCAGCCCGAGCGTGCCGCCTCCTCTGATGCGGGCACGGCAGTCATTAACCTGGCCTAGAAGCACAGGGAAGCAGATTATTAATAGAATGGACAAGGGAAAAAATAGAAAACTCCTCAAACGGGTTTTCCAGAGAGAAAATCGTTGCCTCCTGCCATTCTGACTGCAGCTTTCTCTGCAGACAAATCTTTGCAATCGGGGGAGGGGTTCTTTAGGGAATTGGTTTGGGGCAAGAGAGGCAATGGATAACATATGTGAAGGAATCGGGGTTTGGAGTTGGGGAGACATTAAAATGGATCCTTTGCAGTGGGGCTTTTTATGCATTTGACCTGGTTTTAAACATCTGGGTTTTTCTGCATGAGCATCACAGAGATGCTACAGCGGGCAGCTGCAGGATGCTGCTGTTTTCTTTGCATTTTAAGAAATGAGTCGATGCGGTTAATCTGGTCGTTTGGGATCTTTGACACTCGTGCAGGAGCTGCAATACAGAAAGAACATTTCCAATTCTCTTGCATCTTAGAAATGCTGGGAACGAGAGGATGTGGCATTTTGCAATTAGCCTGCAAATCTTCAGAGGGCGAGAGAGTGGTTATTTTTCATACAAGGGCTCAGTGCGGGGAGGTCTGGGAGCTCTGCTTCCCGCAGGGAAAAGCCTTACTTTGGAGCGGTTTAAAAAAAAAAACACCAACCAGCAACTCGGAGTCCCTGATACCCCCAGAGCACATTAGCCCGGGCCGAAAATGCCCCTGGGCTGCCGTGGCTGGACATGGAGCTGTTTGTTCCCGGACGTCTGCCCTTCCCGCACCAGAGCTTGGGTCTTTATTAATTCATGGCTGGAGCTGCCCCAAATCATTGACATTTGGCAAGAAGAGGGGGCGGGGAGGGCCTGGGAGGCGCAGAAGGTGGCGGAGGCAAATAAAGACCGGGAGGAGGAAGCTGGGAGTGAATGGGAGGCCGGCGCAGTGAATGGGCGCCGGGGAAGGCCGAGCCCCCGCCGCAGAGGACGGACAGGGCGGCCGGCGCGGGCGCGGGGTGCAGGGCCGGGGTGCCAGGGCTGCGCCCGGGCCTCAGCCTGCAGCGCCCAGCCCCAGCCTCCCGAGCCAGCGCAGCCCGGCGCTGGCTGCAGAGCCCAGAAACCCTCACGACTTCTGGTTTTACACACGCGCACTCACACATGGGGGGGGGGTCCCCTCCAGCAGCTCCCGGAGGAAGAACGTGACCGAGGCGCTTCCCGCCCCACCCCCGCGGGCCCCCACCCCGTTGAAAAATTGCGCCTGCAGCCCAGGGGCTGCTGCTCCCCTGGCGCGCTCTGGGCGCGCGGGCGCGGGCCGTGGAGACGCGGGGGGCTTTGATTTCGTTTCTCACTGCGGAGCCGCCTGCGGGCGCCGCGGGCAGAGGACGCGCCGGCGGTCACTGCGGCCGCGGAGCCGCGGGTCCCGAGCCCCTCCCTCCCTGTCCGCGAGGGGCTGCGGGCGCCGGGGCCTTCACTAGCCCGGGGGGCGGGAGGGGGCGGGTGTCGGGGGCGTCCGCGGCCTCCCCGACCGCCCCGGCCCAGCCGCGCCTCCCGACCCGGGTTTTTCCAGCCCGGCCGCCTCGCTCCTCTGCGGGACCCGCCGCGGCGCGGGCCGCTGGCCAGGGCGGTCCCCTTCCCGGCCGGCCGGGGCGGCGCGCCGGGGGCAGGCGGGGCGGGCGCGGGGCGGGAGCCGCCCGGGGGCCGGGGCTGGGGCCTGCGCGCGGGTCCACCCGGGAACCCGCCTCCTGCTCGCCCCCTCGCTCGGGCGCGCCCTCCCGCGCCCGGGGGTCCTGGCCGCCCGCCAGCGACCCGAGCCGGCTCCGCGGCCTCCGGTGCGGAGAAATGGCGGCCGCGCCGCCCGCCCGAGCCCCGCGCTCCGCCGCGCCGCGGGGTGGGGCGCCCTGGATGCGGGCGCGGGGGCCGCGGCCCGGACGGGGTTTCCCCCTCCCCGCGTGCTTCCTCCAGCGCCGCTGCCCCCGGGGGGCGGGGGGCCAGCGGGTGCCCAACCCCTGGCGCAGGGCGGGCGCGGGCGGGTCCGCGGCCCACGGCCTTGGGAGCCGAGCCGCGGCCGAGGCGCGGGGCGCGGGGCGCACCCACGCGGGCGGATTCGGGCCCCGCGAGGGGACCCGAGGTCACGCGCCCCCCGGGGAGCTCGCCATCCCAGCGGGCGGCCTGCGCGGCGAGGCGCCCCCAGAACGGGAGCCCCACGAAGGCGGGCGGCTTCATAACGAAACCACCCGCTTCGGAGGCCGGGGCCGCGGGCCCAGCGCAGGAGGAGGCCCGGCGCCCGCCTCGCCGAGGGCGGCTGCTTCGCACCAAGTGGGGCTGCGCTCTGGGGCGCGGGGCGCCTCCCCACCCTCCCCGCGCCCCCCCTCCGCTGGCCAGACCCCTCCGCCTGCACCGGGAGCCGCGGCTGGCTGGGGACGCGCTGGGACGAAGGGGGAGTGAGAAGGAAATTAAACGCCGAGGGAGGTGAGAAGAGGGGGCGCAGGGACAGAAAAAGATGCTGAGTGAGGCGCGGGCGGGAGCTGCTGCAGGAGCGGCTCACCTGCCCCCCCAAACACACACACGGCCCAGGGGGGCGGGGGGGCTCAGAGGGGCCAGAGGACCCTCGGGGGCGCAGCCAGCCTCGCCCCTCTTCCTTCCCCTTTCCAGGGGCCCCGCTGGGCACCTCAGCCCCCCCCCCCCGGGGGCTGGGCGGGTCCCGCTGACCGCTGCCTCCTCCCGCAGCGTACCTGGTGCAGGCCGTGAGAGCCGCGGGCAAGTGCGATGCCGTCTTCAAGGGCTTCTCCGACTGTTTGCTCAAGCTGGGCGACAGCGTGGCCAGCTACCCGCAAGGCCTGGACGACAAGACCAACATCAACACCGTGTGCACGTGAGTCCCGCTCGGGCCTGCTCTGGGGGGCTGCCGAGGTCGCAGGGCCTGGCCCCCACTCCGCACCACCCATGGCCAAGGCCACCACCCTGGGGTGGACAGACGTGGATGCCCCGCAGAGGCGGGGGCAGGCCAGGCCTGGGGCCTGGGAGGCGGGAGAGCTGCCCCAGCTCCTGGTGCAGCAGAGCCCCCCCCTGGAGGCCCACCCCCTCCTCGAGGCCCACCCCCCCAGGCCCACCCCCTCCTCCAGGCGGACCCCCTCCTCCAGGCCCACCTCCTCTCCCTTCCCGCTGGCATTGGAGGGGGGGGCTGCCAGCCCTCTGGGAGGAACAGCTGGTCCCGTTTTAGGTAAGATCTGGTGCTTGGCCTGCAAGGATGTCCTTGGGTCCCTCCCCAGGATAAAACTCGCCCCGGCGCAGGCCAAGGGAATGCGGGCGCAGGCAAGAGCGTGGGCCCCTCCTCTTTGAGGACGGGCTGGAAGCATCTTTGTTGGGCGCCATGACTTCGCCAGAAGCGGAGTCCTGGCGTGTGGCTGCTTCCCCTGCAGGCTCAGCCACCCTGCGTCCCGCCCCTGCCCCTGGCATCTCCAGAGGCCCCGGGCAGGCGGGGACAGCTGAGGCCCAGGAGGGCCAGGGAGCTCATGCCAGGCCCGCTGTCCCCAGGGCTTGGCTGCCAAGCTCTGCTCCCGCCATCAGGGGGGACCCCAGAAATGCCCCAGCCCCTCAACACACAAACACCGTTAGTTTCTTTTACTTCATTTTATTTCTCAAAAGCACCGTGGTAGCCCCTCCCTCCCGGGCAGCCGAGGCCAGGGGTGTCCCTTGCTCCTCGGAGGCTGGAGTCCCTGTTTTTTGCACCACCCTTTCCATGGTGGGAGGCCCTGCCCCTCCCTCATTCCCGGGGGCCAGGGGGGCTCACTGGCGGCTCAAATCACAAGTATCTCAAAAGGGGCCCCCTTTGCTACAATGTTCCCTAAACGCCCCCGGGCCCAGGGACCCGGGAGTGGCCGCCGTGGCGGGAGGGGCGCAGGGCTGGGGAGGCAGACCCGCCGCCCGCAGGGGCGCCAGCTGTCGCGCCGCGGGTCGGAGCCTGAGCCGCAGCCCCGAAGATTAAACACAGACCAGCTCGTCCTCCGGCTGGAAGCGGGTTATCCCGGCTCTTTTAATAATTGAGCAGGCTCGGCCCTGGAAACCAGAGCGAGGAGCCCCGGTGCTGGCTGCCGGCGGGGTGGCGCTGGCGAGGGCACCCTGCACGCCCGCCTCTGCAGGCGCGCCGCCTTCCCCCGCAGCAGGGGCCGCGGCCTTGGGTGGGCACCGGGGCCGCGGGGCTCACAGCCGGGGGAGGCGGGTCTGCCGGCAGCGCACGCTCCCCGCGCCTCTTCCTCCCCCGACTCTGGCTCTGCGCTCACGCAGCCGAGGAGCCGGGGCGCCGGCCCCGCGCAGCCCAGGCCTCTCCAAGCCGGGGCGCAGCCCAGGCCTCTCCAAGCCGGGGCGCAGCGCAGGCCTCTCCAAGCCGGGGCGCAGGAGCACGCCCGGCGCCGAGGGGACTGCGCGGCCGGCCAGCGGGGAGGGGCGGGAGCCTGGGCGCGGCCCGCAGGCGCCTCCAGGCGGGCCGGGGCGGGGGGTGGGGGGCGGGGGGCGCCGCCCGCGAGACCCGGGCCGAGGACGACGCCGGCCGGGGCGCGGGCCCGCGAGGTGGGAGCGGCGGCCGCCGAGACGCGCGCATCGACCGAGCTCCGGGAGGAGACAGCGCCCGGGATCGATCACGAGCCGGAATTATATTTAGTCTCGGGATCTATTCTGGGTTTTCTGAAGAAAGGGGGACAATAAGAAGGACAGGGTGCACGGAGGTGGGGGGCGGGGCGGGAGCCCGGGGAGCCGCGTCCCCGGAGGCCGAGGCGGCCGCCCGGGTCAGCCGGGAGCCGCCCAGGGCAGGGCCGGGGGCTGGGCCCGCGCGCGACGGCCGCGGGGCCGGGGAGGCCTCCTGGGGCGCGGGGCCGGGGGAGGCCTGGGGCGCGGGGCCGGGGGGCCTCCTGGGGCGCGGGGCCGGGGGCCTCCTGGGGCTGGGGGGCACCGGGCAGGGCCGCCCGGGAGCCGGGCGCGGGCACTCACCGGCCGGCGGGAGGCAGGCGGGGCGGCCGCGTCGGGAGAGGCAGCCGGGCGCGCGGAGACGCGGAGGGAGGGGGGCGGCGGGGAACTTGGGGGGCCGGGAAGAGGACAAAGGAAGCGGAAGGAACCGGCCGGTCTGGAGTGGCGGAAACAAAAGGAGGGGCGGGAAGGGGCGCGGGCGAGCCCCGCGCGGGGAGGGGGGGCGCGGGCCGGGCGCGGGGAGGAGCCGGAGGGAGGGAGGGCCGGGCCGGGCCGGGGCCGCAGCCCCCTCCCCGCGGAGCCGGGCGCCCCGGGCCCGGGAGGGGACCCCGCCGCGGGCCGCCCCGCCGCGCCCCCAGGAGGCCGCGCCCGCGCGCGAGGGTCCCCGGGGCCGCCGAGCGCAACGCGACCCGCCGCGCTGTCCCCCGCAGGTACTGGGAGGATTTCCACAGCTGCACCGTCACGGCGCTCACGGACTGCCAGGACGGCGCGAAGGACCTGTGGGACAAGCTGAGACGCGAATCCAAAGACCTCAACATCCCGGGCAGCCTGTTCCAGCTCTGCGGCGGCGGCAGCGCGGCGGCCGGGGCGCTGCTCCCCGCGCTCCCCCTGCTCCTCGCGGCGCTCGCGGCGGCGCTGGCCCCCTGGCTCTCCTTCTGAGCGCGCGCGCCCCCCGCGCCCCCCGCGCCCCGCGCCCCCGCCGGCGCGGGGAGAGCGTGAGCGCCGCGGGGACGCCGGGCTCCCCGCGACGCTGGAAGCGCGCCCCACAGAGGAGCGGGGCTTGCGTCCTCTCCTCGTCCCCCTGACCCCTGTGTTTTCTGGGCCAGACGTCATCCCCCGCCACGGAACGCGCCAGCGCGGCCGACACCGAACCTCAGCTTTCGCCGCCCTCACGCCCGGCGCGGAGCGCGCGCCCATCCCCATTTTCTAGTTTTCATTTTGCGATTTCCTTTACTTTGATTTTTTTTTTTTTTTTTGGCAAAAGAATCTCAGGAACGGCCCTGGGCCACCTCCTCTCACCATGTCAGCGCTCGGCGCGCGGGCTCCGGGCTCCCCGCCGGGGTGGGGGCGGCCGCGGCCCGACTCACCCCACCCCTGCCCACGCCCTCGTTTCACATCCCACCGCACATTTCCCCTCCAGAAAACCCAAAGGACAGGCCGCTGGCCTGGGCCGGCAGAGAGGGGCCGGGAGGGAACGCGCGCAGGAACCCGGGGTCCCCCGCGCGGCCGGCGAGCGCCCCGCGGCTCCCGCCTCCCCCACGGCCCTCCCGCCCCCCTGTGTTAGCTGAGCGCGCGCGGTAGGACCTGGAGACCCACAGTAGCGACCCGGGGGGAGGGATGTTAAGGGTTACCCTAAAATATAGCTTACAGAAGATTTTGACATAAAAGAGCCTTGATTTTAACAAAAAGAGAGAGATGTAATTTAAAAAGTTTATTATAAATTAAATTCAGCAAAAAAGATTTGCTACAAAGTATAGAGAAGTATAAAATAAAAGTTATTGTTTGAGACGGGGTGTCGCCTGCTTCCTGCCCGGCTCGCCGGGACCTGAGGGGCGCGCGCCTGGCCACGCCCCTGCCCCGCCGGGGTCCCCGAGTCTGTGCCCGCGGCAGAGACGAGGAACCTGCTCGCGGGGCTTCGGCTTCGCAGGCGGGGAAAGGCGGGTCTGCCTGGGGCCCCGAGGGCCACGCCCGCGGCGGGGCGGCCCCTCCCGGCGGGCGAGACGCCGCCCGGGCCCGCCGCCCGCCGGAGCAGCCGCCTCGCCCCGCGCGCCCGAGGCCGCGGCGCAGGAGCCGCCATTAAGGGGGCGGGCGGGGGGCCGCGGCCGGGGCGTCGGGCGAACCCCTTCACGCCGCTCGGCGCGGCCGGAGCAGGCGGCGCAGCCCCCCCGCCCCCCGCGGGCCGCCCCCGCGCGCTCGGCGGCGCCCCCGCCCCGCAGAGGTGAGCCTTGGAGGGGGCGCGGGCCGGGCCGGGCCGGGCCGGGAGGGACGGGCGGGCGGGGCGGGCGGGGGCCCGAGTCCGGGTCTGGGGGCTCCGTCAAGAGGACGCGGGGTCTCCCGCAGAAGCAGGGGGTGGAAGGGGCGGGGGCCGCGCGGGGCCGCGGGGGGCTGCCGTCGCCGGGGGCTTTGCGGGGCCGCTAATGCGATGCGTAAACCAGCGCCGCGCGGCGCCCCGTAAATCCAGCCGGTGGGTCGCGGCCCCCGCGGCCCCGCGCTCTGAGGCTCCAGCAGCGCCCGCGCCCCGCGCGCCTTCCCGGCGGGTCCGCCCGCCGCCCCCGAGCTCGGCCCGGACTCCGCGCGGCCCCGACGGAACCCGCTGCCCGCGGGCGCGGCCCCTCGGGCCGGTGGGGGTCGCGAGGCGCCTGGGGGGGCGGGGGGGCTCCTTTGGCGTCGGCCCGGGCGCGGCGCGTCCAAAATGTCGGAGCCGATTTTGAACCCCAGGCTGGGCGCGAGAGGCGCGTCTCCGCCTTCCCTCGGGCCTGCGGACCCGCCACCCCCACCCGGCTCGCCGCGGGCGCTGGGGCGCGGGGGGCGGGGGGCGCGGGGGACGCGAGCGGCGCGGGGGGCGCACACCGGGCGCGTGCAAAAAAAAGGCGCGCGTGGTGCCCCCCCCACCCGGGCCGCGAGGACGCCCCTGCGGGCAGCCGGCCAGGGCTCCCCACCCAGGAACCGAGCCCTTGGCGGGGGGGGGGGGGGGGGCGGGGGGGGAGCTGGGGTGCTGGGGTCCGGGGACAGGACGGGAACAAAGGTCGCGGGTTCGCCCAACGGGCTTTCCGCCCGGGCCGGCTCTCCCGGAAAGGACCGCCTGACCAGGCCTGAGGCCGCGGGTTGGGGCGCCCGGCCCCCCCAGGCGGCAGCCAGCGGGCGGCGGAGCGCGAGCCAGGGCCGGGGCTGGGGGAGGCCAGTCCCTGCCCCAGGTGGTGTCCGCTGCCCAGGCCGGGTTCTGTCACGTCACTGCCACTTGCTGCTGGGGGTGGCACCGCCGTGTGTGAGGTGATGGGGTGACCGGGTGTCTCGGGCAGCAGCTCCTGAGCCCGTCCCTGCGGGGAGCTGATTAGCCAGGACCCCCGGTCATGGGGGAGAGGAGGCCAGAGGGGTCAGGCAGCAGGGGAGCCCCATGTCCACGAGCAGCGGCCTCAGGCCTGGGCTCCTCTGGCTGCGCCCAGACCTTAAGGCCTCTTGGGGGCCCCTCCTGCACCCCTCGCCCAGGGAATCAAGATGCAGCTGGCTGGGGTGCGCTGGACATCGTGGAGAGGCCCTCTTGTTGCAGGGGGACCAGCTGGGAGCTGGAGGGGGTGCAATCTCAGAGGGCTGAGGGGGAAACACGGGGCTCCACCGCCTTCCAGACAGGCCAGCCGCGGGGCTGCACTCACTCGGGGCTCTGCGAGGAACCCCTGGGCCACCCCAGATTTTTTCTTTCTTTCTTTTTGAAGTATTAGCTGCGTTTAATCTTGTGGGGGGGGGGTTATATGTATATTTTACATCATTGTTCATTTTTAAACAATGTTTGCTTTTTTACTCCCCCTCGGGTGTAGTCCCCATAGAATTCCCTCCCCCGGCTCCCCCAGCACCATCACACAGTCCCACAGTCCCCCCTCCCCCCCAGTCCTTCTGCTCCTCGGGCCCCAGGAGCCCCCAGTGGAGGGACCCTCCAGGAGGTGGGCTGGAGGCTGCGGTGGTGGTTTGTCCAGAAAGGCCCTCAAGCCCCTGGTCTTGGGCCATTCTCCATCCCCCCATCCCCCTCGGGCCACAGATGGGGCACCAGAGGGGCCCCCCAGGGTCCTCTGGCAGAGGCTCCACCCCCTGGCCCCGGGGTCCCCACAAGCACCTCCCAGCAGTCATCAAAGCCTCTGTCTTCCCTCACCCTCACAAGTGGACTGGGGCTGGGGAGCCTGGGGGGGGCCCACTGTGCTGCTTTGTCCTTTGGGGTCTGCTCCCCTCCATGGAGAAGAGCAGCATCTCCCAGGGGCCACCCTTGGGGCTGGGCCCAGGACCCCCCCCAAACCCCCGTAGCCCCTCCCGCCTCTGGGCACTCCCCGCCAGCCCACAGCTGGGGGCAGAGGAGGAGCTGACACCCCCTCCCGGCCTGGAAGGACTTGCTGTGAGCCAGGCTGTGGGGACAGGGACTCTGTCGCCAGCTGGAGGGGTCACCCCCGCTACCAGTGTCCTCTGCGGTCACACCCTGGCAATGGCCCCTGCCTCCTGGCTGGGCGTCTGAGCCCCGCGGCCTCGCCCGCTGCTCTGTGTCAAGTCAGCGCCTGCGCGCGCGGCGAATGTCCAGCCGCCCCGGAGGCCTCCTTCTGACCATTCACGCGCTGGGGTCTGCACGTCCCGCCGGGAACCCCGGCCTGCTGCACCCCCTGCTCCCCCAGAGGATGCTGCGCAGCACCCCTGACTCCATCAGCCCTGGACCTGTCCCCCCCACTCCCCAGCCACAGACACGCCCCCCAGCACCTGGGAGCCCCCAACTAGCCAGCTCTCCCCGGCCCGCCTCTCCCCCCACCCCGCCCCACCAGGGCCTCTCCTTTCTCTCCTGGCTAAGGGGAGTTCATGGCTGGCAGTCCCTCCCGTCAGCTGGCTCTGCCGCCTCCGCCCTGGGGCTTCCTCTGCACCAAATCGACATAAATGTCCTTCCACCAAATCCTTCCAGATCAAAAGCTTAACAATAACTCCTCCGGAAAGTCGCGCACTACGTCTTCGTCTTCGCAGGCGCGGACAACGGATTTGCTTTCCGCCCACGGCGGACATCGAGGCTTCCCCGGGTCTGCCTTTCCATAAAGTTTTTTAATTTTATTTTTTTTAAGATTTATTTACTTATGCACACAAGAGCTGGGGTGCGGCCAGAGGTGTGGGGGGCGAGAGGACTCCCCAGAGACAGAGTGGGGAGCAGAACAGGCAGATTGATTGAAATCCACTGCTGAGGGGAGCAGCGGGGAGACAGGAGAGGTCTGCTGCGCCCTGGGGGTAGCTCCCTGGCCGGGGATGGAACCCGTGCTGCGGAGGCTGCTGATAGCTTCATAGGCTGCGTCTTAACCCCTTGCGCCACCAGGGAGGCCCGGTCCTTCCTTTTTTAATGTTCTTTAAACATGATTTTCGAAGTAGTTCTGGCCAGTGTTACGTGCTGCTCTTTTTATTTTTCCAGTGGAATACCTTCTCGCAGAGCCAGGTTGCTGGGCAGGAGGATTAGTCCTTTTTAATGTAGGTGCTCCTACCTGGGAAGAACCATTTCTTCTCCAGAGACTGGAGCTCATGTCCCTCAGCCGCACGCTCCGGTGCCAGCCAGGTAACCGGCTACGTCCTGGAGGGTCAGGCCCGGGGGGCACAGCAGGGGTCCCTGACCTTGCTGCCCCCAGAACTTGCCCGGAAGGGCAGGCAGGACCCCCCAAGCCCCACAAACAGCGGCTTTTATGCCTCCAAGTGAGATTAGCCCTGTGCACAGGCCCAGGAGGCTGGGGTGCACACGACACCCATGGGTGGGGACGGGGCTGGGACTGGGGCACCCACAATTCCAGCCACTTGCAGGAGGCGCTCTCCGCCCCCACCTCAAGGCCTCCGGTGCTCAGCAGGCTGGTGTCAAGACCGCCAAGCCTGTGAGCAGGAGGAAGAGGGACGGAGGCACCGAAGGGGATGGGCAGCCAGCGTGTTTCCCCCCTGCCAGCAAG